TTTCACCAATCTCAGGTGGTTTGATGATTGCATTTGCTTGTAGGGGTGCAGATCTTTCTTTATTGGTCTCCGTATTGCCATCTCAATCAACAGGCATTGTAGAGACTGTTGTAGGAATTCGTACATCTTTCATGTGCATCGGGACTTCATCTCCCACTTGCAATTTGTTGTTAGCTTGGACGACCGTGCATTTGGACTTTGATTTGTTCATTTATCCAAAGCACCGTCCTACGCATTCCGCATAATACTAAGTTAAGTGTGGCAGAGATGAGGATGCTCAGGTGGATGAGTGGCTTTACCCTTAGAGATAAGATACGAAATGAGCATATACGTGAAAAGGTTGGAGTAGCTTCAGTAGAAGATAAGATTAGAGAGAGTCGCCTTAGATGGTTTGGTCACATAAAATGGCGGCATTCTGATGACCTGGTTAGGAGAGTTGAGGTATTAGATTTGACTTATGTTAAGAAAGGTAGGGGTAGACCTAAAAAGATTTGGTTAGAAAATATTAGGAATGACCTTTCTTTATTAGATTTAAACGAGAGTTTGACTTTTAATAGGACACAATGGAGAAAAAGGATTCATGTAGCTGACCCCACGTAGTGGGATAAAGGCTTGATGTTGTTGTTGTTGTAAGATGTGTTTTTTGTATTAATTCTTCAAAATCACTTCAAAATTTTAATTTTGCACCCATATCCAAACCTACTTGAAGAGCATAAACACTTATAATATTAATAATCTTATAATCAACAATAATCTTTAAAGCTATAATTCTATCTCTAATTATATTTATTTTTATAATATTATCCATTAAACTCTTATTTATAATCATAGCTATACCATTTCTAATATAACTCTTACCATAATACCCTTGTTTAAATCCTAAACTATTAATCTCTTTAGCCTTTTCTTCGACCCATTTAGTTTCCTAAATGCATAGAATATTAAATTTCCTATAAATCATAATATCTATTAATTTTATTAATTTTTCTGTAAGGGTACCTATATTCTAAGTTCCTATACTAATTTTAGTTCCATGAACTAGCTTCTTTGCCCACATCCATCCATGATGTAGGAACCCTTACCTATTTAATGCTATACCCGAGTGCTGGTATAGTGGCCCTTGCATACTTGCCGTTGTATTTAAGCCACATAGCATGTCCCTATCAGGGAATGACCTAACATTAATGCAATGTATTAAAAGATTCATGTCCAGATTATTCGAAAAGTTTTATGCTAGTTGTCAATTGCATAATGTAACCCTTGACTTTTGTCATCTAAGACTTGGGACACAAAGACAATGTTTAAAAAAACTAGGAGGAAATTCTAGAGGTGTATTTTTCTCAACTAAATATAAGGATATAATTACTTATAATAATTGTCTTTTAATTTAATAAAGATTAAATTTTAACCCGGGTTCACCAGAAAAATTGTTTCTTATTCTTTTTTCCTAGCATGAAAGACTATTTATGATTTTTTTATTCTCCACATAGAATAATCAGAATAAGATGCTTACTAGTTTCAAAATAACAATGATAATTAATTGTAAATAAATTTATTGTTATTATAATACATCTTTGATGAAATTTATATTGAAACAAGAAATTAGATGATTTAGCGATCACATAAATAAGGAATTGAAGAATGTTATGCATATTTAATTGATTGAGCCCTTTCTCTATATCCTTTTATACTTATTGCATTTATTTTCTTACCACAAACTTAAGGGTGTAAACGAGTCAAGTCGAGCTGAGCATTAGCTTAATTGAGATTAACTTATTTAGTTCTTACTGAGCTCAAGCTTGGGTCGTTAAAAAAAGATATAGGCTCCATATCTTCTCAACTGCAGGAGCTTGTTTAAAAAGCTCAAGCTTGACTCGATTGTTGAGCTTGATCGATTTTATAGTTAAAAAAAAATTCTTAAAGATTTATTTTTAATATAGAATTAATTTAAAAATCATTAAAATATATTATATAATGTTAATCTAAATTTGTTTTAAATACATCTTAAGTTAATTGAGCCGCTCAACGAGCTTATGAGTCTAGCCAGGCTGAGCTGGAGCTCGAACTAGAGCTCATTCAATATATGAACTCAAGTATAGGCTTAAACTCTTACTCATGGCTCAATAAACTCAACTCGTATGCTCGTTAGCGAGTTGTGCTCGAGCTGACTTAGCTCACATATGGCCTTACATTAATCCAATTAAAAAGCTCTTCAAAATAAATACCAAGTGTCTGTTTTTGACAACTTTCTTATTGCTTTGCTTTCTTAGAATGTAGTAAGAATTTTTGTTTGTCTACTATGTTTTTTTTTATCTTAATAAATTTGTATGTGAGGAAGCTTCTTTTTACAACAACTTAAAAAAAAAAAATAATTCTCCTGCAACAACCTTTATAAAATGCTGCTGTAGTTCCAAACAAACCCAAAGTGTTTTAATTTTAGCAGCTCAAGCATTAGATACTTGCATCCAAAAAACCTTTCAACAACTTAATTTAAATATTATAGAACCTAGCAAATATTTGTTTTCATTAATGCAAGTGTATCACTTCATAAGCACATGTGGCGAACACATTCTATCTCTGAGTTCCTTAAAGTTATCTAAATAAAATAACCAAGATCAATTACTTAATTAATATCATCAATAAGAAATTTAAGAGAAAATCTACATAAAATTCTTCATCCAAATAAAATGTTTAAAATACCTTTTATAAACAAATTATTATAATAACAACACATAAAGATTCAGTAGACCAAAATATGAAGTACTTAATCAGTCCTCCAAAATTTCCTCATGATTGGTTAAGATGCAGACCTCCAAAATTTCTTCATGTTTGCTTGGGACATTAACATTGCCAGGTTGATTAGAAGAAGGAACAAATGGTGCCGGGGGCATATCCAAGCTCTGAAAGTTTGCTGTGAGCAATTGAACAACTTTACTAATTGAAGGACAGTCTACTGGATTCCATTGTATGCACCAAAGTGCTATTATGGCAAGCCTTCTCATAATTTCTTCATTTCCCTCTATTTCCATGGCTAATCCTAGGCTGTTACTATGGACCAACTTGTCATATATCCACCCGTGAAAGTAAATTTCACTAAGGTTCTCAATTGTAGGATCAATATTTTTCCTCCTTCCGATCATTTCTAGTATAAGCATTCCATAACTATATACATCATATTTATGAGAGACAGGTCTAAAGTTTCTAGAGTAGACCTCTGGTGCTATGTATCCCATAGTGCCTCTTGCAGCGCTTATTGTCACAATGCTTTGATCTCTGGAGCATAGCTTGGCCAAGCCGAAATCTAAAATTTTTGGATTGAAGTCATAATCTAACAAAATATTATGGGGTTTTATGTCAAAGTGAATAATTCTTTGATTGCATCCTTGGTGCAAATAATTGATTCCTCGGGCAATGCCAATTGAGTTCTCATGCAACTTCTATATTTTGAAAAATTCATGTCTCTTTTTGGATTCCCCAAAGAAAATAAACTTTTCCAAAGAATTATTTGGCATGAACTCATACACTAGTGCTCTGTTAGTTCCATCTGAAAAAAATCCCAAGAGGCGAACTACATTGACATGGTGAATTTTTCCTATAGTGGCAACTTCGTTGACAAAATCATCTCCATTGGATTTTGATGCTTCTAGAAACTTAACTGCTACAGGAATTCCATTAGTCAGCTCACCTTTGTAGACACTTCCAAATCCTCCTTGACCCAGCTTATGCTTAAACTTCTTTGTTATTTTTTTAATATTAGAGAAATTGTATCGAGTTAGTGTTGTGGATTTGTAGATTGCAAGTAACTTTTCCACTTTTCTGTGCATCTGTTTTTCATTGCTATATTTTTTGAAAAAGTAGAGAACCACAAGAGCTGCAATAAAAAAAATCACAAGAGATGTGCCAATGGCAGCGCCTGCAAGAAAGAAAATTTTAACAATTACTAATGAAACTTTTCTATTTATAAGAACCACTATCGATAAATTTTACCAAATTTCATGCAATGAACTCTTTTAAAAGAAATTCAAGTTGGAAGTTCGTGGAAAACTAAAAATAAATGGTGAGATTGCTCCATTTACCTTCAACAATAAGATGTGAACCTGGGAAAAATATGTATGGACAAAAAATTAGTTCGTTAAGCCACAATTAATAAAAGTCAACATAAATTTGAAGGAAAGAATAATAATACATGCTTAAAACTTTATTTTCTTTGCTATTACAGAAAAGAAAATATTTCCCTGAAAATATCTCTGACCTAACCTCCTAAATCTATTTCATTGTATTTGAAATTTCGCCATGTAGTCGACCAACTTTAATTCATTGATAATTACCTTTTCCTTGAAAGCTTTATTATGTTAAAATCAAATTTCTATACCGGATATGAAGTTTGATGAGGTTCTGTTTGGAAGCCAAATATTTATTTATTGAGAAGATTTAGGGTTGCTGATGATTTTTTCGGTGTGGCTGATGGAATTTTTGAAAGTATTGGAATCAAATATGTTCGTAACAATACAAAAAATATCACTAATAACAAGAAGATCAAGAAATAAGAGAATAGAAAGAGAGAGAGATTTCTTATTGTTAGAAGTACAAGTCTTGGAAAAATGATTGCTCTTTTATCTATCTCTAAAACTTTTATCATTAAACTAAAAATAGGATATGTGGTTGCTAAAAAAAACATGAAGTTTGTAATATTAATTCCTTACAAAAAGAACAGAAAAGAAAAGATTTCAGAAAGAAGCATCAGATGGATAGAAACTCACGATGAAAATCTTTGGAAAAACAAAATTTTTTATCCCTTATGATATTATATCCACGTTTTTTTCCTTTAATTGAACATGAATAACAGGCCCGAATATTCTCATCTACGTTCACATGCAAAGAAGCAGTTTGTCATTGCAGGCTCTTCTGCGCTATAGTTTGTATCGATTGACCAGTAGCATCAGAAAGAACTTCACCGGTATATATTACTGGGCATGAAGGAGGAAGTATATCTATTCTCTCATCTTCACCAGCATCAGGATGGGCAGTCATTCGAGAGGGCATAGGCTACTGGGAAGATCCCAAGTAGGAGAAGATGGCACCAAGGCATTGCAAAAAGGGTGAATTGGGAATAGCAACAAAGCCCATCTTGCAAATACAGTTTTTAAACAGCATTTAATTCATTAATTACAGCTTCTATACTTGACTATTCCACCGAAAAGACTATACTGGTCAAGTGTATTAAGCAAACAACTTATCACCGCGTTTATGGAACAGGGTAGCTGTTTTTGAAAAGTCCAGCTTATTTGGATAATGGAAATAACGACTAGCAAGACTTAGACCCAATTAATGTTCACCAAGTCAAGTCAAGTGATGAAAAATCTCGATTATTTTTGCTTTCAATTTAATTTTGATGTTCAATTCTCCAAAATATTCTTCAGTGATGCGGAATTCAATGAACTCATTGTTTGCTCTATTTTGCTAAGTTACATAGAAATTTGGACTAAGGTGGCAATTGATGGTTAATTGTACATATTCAACCATATTTACAATTTTTATGTATATTTGTTTGTTTGCTACAGGTCTTATCTTCAATATAACACATGGAATGATGTAGTTAGAAGAACCCTTTTCAGTGAATCCACACGCATAGCAAATTTAATTCAAACTGGGGATCAAACTTTGCGGCCTCAGAAGTATACAAAAAATAAAAAAAAAATGGGGATCAGTTAAAAAGTCAGTGAAATTAAATATTTAAATAAAAAAAATAAAAAATATAAATTTTATTAAAAGAAAATTTAATTCAATAACTAGTGCAAACTTTTCATCAGATTTTACAACCACCCAATTATTTATACCAAGATGTAGAAGCCTCCACACCCGAATAAGGAAAAAATACGGGAAGCTTAGATCATGACATCGCCTTTCAAGTTGTTTTTCTACTAGATTTAGGGTGTAGACAAAAAAAGTACTTGCATTGTTCTGTAGGACAATAATCTAGGATGTTATTGGTGGAGACCAGCCACTTTTAAATTTTGCATGCTTGTAATTAAGTGGCATTTGCCCCATGAACTTTTACATTCATTTGATATTTTATAATTGATTATTTATTTTAATTTTTTTGTGTATTAAAAATTGACTGCTTTTCTAGGTTTCTTATATGCTTGTCGAATTTATTTTAGCCTAAAATGTCTCTGGCTCTTAAGGAGAATGAAAAAATTCTTCTACTTGTAATTTAATAAGGAAAATATCAAGATCACATAGAAAAATAAACACTCTTAAGAAATAAGCCCAGGCACGCTAGGGTTTTTTATGCATTCATATTTACCTTCTCTCCTTACTATGCACCTCCCCATCTATGGGCCATGGCAAACCACCTGACCTACTAAGATGTAGATCTGTCTAGGGGATGTTGTACATCACTTGGAAAAAAACCTATTTTTATTCCTAATTCTTAAAGTTCATCATACAATTTTTGCATATAAGTCAATCAGCATGGATTACTTTAGAAACTAATTAAAAATTAATAAAATTTCAATTGCATTGAGCATCTTTACTATATATAAGTGAAAGGGCCACTTAGGATCTTCTCTAGATGTCGGCCCCAATTTTTCCAAAACATAAATGAAAGCCGTCCCATCTATCAATAGATTAGATTGATGGTTTTAAAGTGCATAGGTGATTTAGTTAGCTCTCCAATCAAGGATGAGGCAAGCCAAGTTTTGCATTTCTTTAGTTAGAATCATGTCATTATTGTTTAGCATCCAAATTAGATTTATTGTTTAGCTCTTAAATCCAGGTCGAGTAAGCCCAGATTTTCTTGTCATTAGTTAGAGCCATGTAATTATTGTTTAGCACCCAAATTAGATTTAGGATCTGGGGTAGACCTAAAATCATAAGTCCATAATTTTGAAAAGTTTAATCCTAAATTTCTAATAAAATATCAACTCAAACAAAAATTTTCTCCCCTCCAAAATTTAATGCCCAATATAGGGTAGGTTAGGGTGCTTCTAAATTATTTTTAGAATCTCAAAGTGCTCCCAACCCTTCATTCTTTGGACTCCAAAAATAAGTGCTAAAAAATTGATCCAATTCTATTAAAATTCTCATATATTTCCTTTCAAATAACTCCTAAAAAATCCAAAAGATAATTTATGCCACTATTTTAATCATGAGTATTGATATGAAACCAAAAACTTCATATGATATAGTTAACTACGAAGGATTTTACTTCATAGGAGATATCATTTATTAAAATAAACCCTGTCCTAGTTAGCTTTTAATTAGGATGGGGGAAAATTATTATTTTGGGAAAATTAAAATAAAGGAACCTCATTATCTTTACATTTAAACTGTGGATAAAAAATGATATTTTGTTTCTCTGGGCAGATATATCATTTATTAACATGCATTTGAATATGAAATTAATGATAGTACATCCAGATTATTATAGCTAAATATATGATCGTATAATATTTTGATATTAAGGGTCATAAGTAGTTCTTTCATAAATCTTATAGTTTTGTAATCTAAGCTCATTTAAGAATGATATTTTCCCCTCTTGATATGATATATTATTCATAATGGTGTGTTTAACATCAAAACTAAAAATTCAAAAATTTATATTCAAATTTTCCTAAAAATATAATTGTAATTGATTTGCGCGCTTCACAATAAAAATAATTTTTTGGCTTCTCTATTGGGGAGTTAACTCTCTCTCTCCATCTTTAATATTGATAGAAATCTCATTACATCTGTATTTAAAACAACATTCCATATTTTGGTCCCTCTACCCATTTCTTTCTTTGATAAGAAAAACCAACATATAAAAAATTACGAGAGAGGTGCGTGAGGGAATGTTCAATAAAAACAAGCTTTAACATATCACCCCAAGTCAATTAGTGAAATAAAAGAGTTATGCCAATTCCCCTTGATTTTCCATATCAATTTCATAAACCTTATGTTGGGTGAAAGCCCAACATGTTAAGTTCTATGATTTAAATGAAAAATAATCAAATTTAAAAATTTGAATTCTCTCTAAAAACAATAAAGAAGATGAAAATAACTCTTAGACTTCATTACTATAAATTACCCAAATGTTTTTGTAGCTTAACAGACACAATGAAATCTTATTTTCACAAAATTACAAATGATTTTTTTACATTATGACGATATGTTAGGTTATGTTTTTCATGACTTAATAAATATGATAAGAATCAAAATCATTAGCTTCTTTAAAATTATGTTTCAACAATTAACTAATTCAAATTCATCTCTCTTTTAATTATAGAAAAAATTTCAAGTGATTGGTAAACTTATCTTCTCACAAGATAGAGATATGAATGTAGAAGAACTCATTTACGGTAATTCAATTTAGTTTGGAATGATGGGATTCTGAACTCTTAAGCTGTTAGTGAATGGAGCTGAATTAGTTGACCTATCTGCCAGGTCAAAAAAGGATGTCTCCTCAGTAGAGATTGTTGTAGGGTCGGGGGCCGACTCCCCCATACTTAATATGGAGGCATGATGATGTTTCCCCCTTGCCCATTGTACTCTCTACTAGGGAGGATGAGAAATAGAATTTAGTGATAATAGATAAAAGGCCATGTGTGTCTAAGATTGGGTCAAGTTTCAATATCCCTTTTACTATTCAGAACTAAAAGAAAAATTAACTAAGAATGGTCTTTTTTTTATTTGTTGGTGGGAGTTTCAAAAAGAAGGGTTTAGAAAGTTTTAATCTTATTTGGGGAATTTGATATTGAATCTACAGTATCAAAATTGAACATCTCATTATAAATAATATATTGTCCCTTAAGGCAAAGATATCATTTGCTAATGGGTTCAAATGATGAAACTAAAAGTTGCCATTCTGACTATAGTGATTAAATCCAAGTAAGAGTCGCATACAATTCTGAAGGATCGAAATGATATTATGTCAATATTCAACCACTACAATCTGGATGGGAGATCATTAATTTCATAATCCATATCACAATAACAAATGATGTATCTCTCCAAAGAGAAAAATATCATTTATTATAAATCAATGGGACATGATGATAATGATCATTATCGACTTGATCTTCCCAAAAAATATTAGTTTTAGATTTTAAAATTTTATTTTGAAAAAGGGTGGATGTGGGTTCTAAATCTTCAATGAGCACAAGCCCTTGTAGTTAATTACATCATAGGAAATCAAAATTTCCTACGAATACTCTCTATTAAAAATAATTACAATTTTTGTTTTATTATTTTCTAGGATTGATATCAAAGGAAGTGAATTTTGGAATATCAATGGAAAATGGGGAAAGATTGAACACTTATTCTTGGGGTCAAAGGAAGAAGGGTAGGGGAAAAAGTATCCCAACTTAATCTAAGTGTTGGGCTTTAAGTTTCAAATTGAAAGAGAAATTTAGTTTGAGTTGATCATTTTATTAGAAGTTTGGGATTATATTCCTGGAGATTGAGGTCTTATTATTCAAAATCCACCCTGAATTCTAATTCTAAATTTGGACACTAGACCACCTAACTAATACAGTACAGAATCTGAACTTACCCCGGGTTGGATTGGGGAGCCAACTAACCACCTAATCAATTTTAAATACATGAGTCTAGTCATTTTATGAAAGAGTGGTAGGGAAATATTTATTAAAGTTTTGAGAATAGGGCAGACATCTAGAGATTATCCTAAGTGGTCCCTTGACTTATGTTAGGTGAAAATGCTAAAGACAGACCAATTAAATTTTAGACTCTTCTAAATGTGTTTCTATTGCAATGCATGCTGGTAAAAATACTCAAATCATGAATGCTTAAAATTTTAAAAAGGCATTAAATTAATTTTTTAGAAGACTAGGCTTTCCTAGGTTCAACATCTTACCCTTATAGATTAGATTATTTAAACTCTACCTGCAAGAGGGGAAGTATCTTAGAACAAGAAAATGAGATGCATTAATATGCATGCGTGAGGGCGATCCCTGGCTTATTCTCTATATTAATATATTTCTATATTACTTAGCTTCAAAAATTTTAAATTTTGATTATGAGTAGAAGAATTTTCAAACCCTTATGAGCCTCATGTATCCAGGCTAAATACAAAGCGGCACACAAATGCCAAAAAATTAGAAAAAGAAGACAATCTTATACACAATTAGTCAACAGATTAAATATAAAAAAACTAATTAATAAAAATCCATAAACAAACTATCTTGCTTATTACAACCTAGAAATATAGAAGTTAAAGTGGTCGGGTACCACTAACAATAACCGGGATTCAAATCCTAGTACATACGTAAGTAACTTTGAGTGGGATACTCTGTCTTCGATTCTTCAGTTTTCCCTCCTTCGGGCTCCTTAGATTTATTGTACCCAGTTACCTA